TCTGGGAAGTGGCATCCCTTTGCAATGTCTACTCTATTTACGAGTCCACAGAGGAGGTGGAAGGGCTTTTGCAGTGATATGACTAACTGTAGGTGGCAGTCATTAGCATCCCTCTGAGAGGATGTCTATCATAATAAAAGCAGTCATGGAAACTGACATACTAGTTAGTTGAATACCAATTGAATCAATTGCAACCACTGTGAAGATGCTCTTGTTAAGATGTGTCAATCTTAAAAAAATAATAATAAAATGTAGTTTGAGCACACTGATTCTTGTTTTGTAACAGAATTAGAAAACCTTTGGACTATAGTATTTTGAACTGTAATTGATAATTATAGTGTTAATAAAACAGGTTTTATGGGCAAAATAAATATTTTCTTATATCTTGATTTAATAATGGATTTAATAGTAAAGTATGCAATAAACTTTGGTCAATAAAAGTTCAAGTCTCAACGTATATTTTGACATGTTTCAGAATTTTGTAAAGTTTTGGCTTTTATGTTAATATTACTTTCATATCATTGTGACCAATACACAATACAACAACTTAAGAGATAAAATGATTGTTTTGGTTCTTAGTTGCACTGAATACTCTGTTGTTTCTTGGCCCAAAGTACTTAGGATGAAAACTTGGGAGAAGGACATACAGCAAGGATGTGTCGTCCATTTTTAGCAAACAAACAAGTAAGACCAGAGGGAGCAGTGGTACTATATCTTCAAGAAACCTAACACATTAACATATTTCTTCCACCTTGGTATTACTGCTCCAAGTTTCCAGAATTTCATCAAATGGAGGCTAAGATTTTTAGTACATAAGTTTTTTTTCCAAATGGGGGATACTTCATATCTAAACCATAATATGAATTTTGTCTCCCAAAGTCTTTTGTCTCTATGACAATGGAAAATATACTCTGCCCTTCTTCAAGAGGTCCCAAAGTCCTCACATTTTCAATAATATTCAAAAGCTCAAGTTAAAGGTTGACCAGATGGCTCAATGAGTAAAGGCAACAGCATTTGAGGTCAGACCTGATGACCTGAATTAGATCCCTGGCGCCCACACAGTAGAAAAAGAGAACCATTTCCCACATATGGTGTGTGCGTGCAAGTGTGCACACACACACACATTAATTAATAAATTAAAATGATTTCTTAACATCTTAAGTTAAGTGTCTTTTGGCCATTTGAACTTCTTCTTTTGAGAATTTTCTGTTCAGTTCAGTGCCCCATTTTTTAATTGGGTTAATTAGCATTTTAGAGTCTAGTTTCTTGAGTTCTCTATATATTTTGGAGATCAGACCTTTGTCTGTTACGGGGTTGGTGAAGATCTTCTCCCAGTCAGTAGGTTGCCTTTTTGTCTTAGTGACAGTGTCCTTTGCTTTACAGAAGCTTCTCAGCTTTAGTAGGTCCCATTTATTCAATGTTGTCCTTAGTGTCTGTGCTGCTGGGGTTATACTTAAGAAGCGATCTCCTGTGCCCATCTGTTGTAGGGTACTTCCCACTTT